ACACACACACACACACACACACACACACACACACATACACACACATGTCTCAACCTCAAACAACTGTGCCAGGGTTTTTAATATCTATACCTGTAGTTTTCATCAACCATCAGATTTTATCAAATGCAACAATCAGCAAGTTTTTTGTTTTGTTTTTGTTTTTGCAGTGCTAGGGATTGGATTGAATCCAGGGTTTTTCACACACAAGGCAAATGTTTTACCACTGAACTAACCTCCAACCCCACAAATATTTTTTTTAAATCTATTTTCAAAAAAAAAAATAGGATATTCCCAGGAAGTTAATTCAGTAAATATTTTAAAAATAAAACATGGAATAAACCAAGAAAGGAGATTCTTTATAGAATAGGCGATACCAAGTCCAACCCAGAAAGAGTAGCGGGTGAGACGGAGGATGGAGCAGGGTGAGCTCCAGGAAAGCAAAACTGAATCGGGGTGCGGGGGAAGATATCATTGAGAAATGTGTTACAACCTCCAGAGTTTGAAACTTCTCAAAAATAGGACTTGAACTAAATGTGAAAAATAATGGTTACAGAATAGAATATAAATGTTATAAACACTGACATGGTAAAAATAGTAGTTGGGAGGTGGAGAGGGGAGGAGACGTGAAGAGACATTTAGACTGCTGACTTCTTCACCTCTGTACTGTCAAAACCTGGAAACATGGAGTTACACAACACACACAAGGATTCCAATTTCTTAATTTTCCCTCTAGTTTTTTCTTTCATTTTAAAAGGATCCTTTTTTTTGATGTTCTTATATTTATTTGTTTATATAACTGCATAAACTACCATATAGGTTCCTATAACAAAATACTTATAGAATGTCATAGCTGTTAGAGGACAGAAACAATTTTTCTGGAGCCACAAATTGACAGGGAGGAAGATTATCAGAGAAGGCTTTGTGGAAGAGATATATTTAAGATAAGCTGAAAGAATAAGCAGAAAGGAATGCAAGGTTATTTAATATTAGAAAATTAATTTCATGATTAATAATAGTCTGCCATATTAGATGATAAAAGGAAGAAAACCATATGATCATCTCATTAGGTGCAGAAATCGGTTGGATAAAATTCACCAACTGGTTTTAAATAATCTCTTAGAAATTCATAAATAGATTAACAAAAAATTTGTGATATCCCTTGAATGGGAAAATCATATGGTAATGAGAATTAATGACCTGTGCACTGGCCCAGACTAACCCACAGCCCTCCTCCTTTGGCTGTTTTCTTTTTTTTTTTTTTTTTTATTGGTTGTTCACAACATTACAAAGCTCTTGACATATCATATTTCATACATTAGATTGAAGTGGGTTATGAACTCCCAATTTTACCCCAAATGCAGATTGCAGAATCACGTGCTAAGGCTGTAGCTCAGTGGTAGAGCAATTGCCAAGTAGGCACAAGGTCCTGGGTCCAAATCCCAATACTGTAGAAATTTAAAAAAAAAAAAAAACTGATGTTTTTGTTCCAAAAGCAACATATTAATTCAATTCTATTTTATAAAATTACAACATTCTTTCTATCTACATTTTTGGTTATTGTTTATGAATAGAATGAGAAAGACTTAATATCAGTCTTGAAAATTTCTAAGTGGTGAAATTGGGGGTACAAAAATTTTTCTTCTTTTCAATGTTTCTCTAAGTTTGCAAAAAATCTTCTCCAAAAGTAAGACATATAGACATAGTCCATCAATTTTATTCTTTTTTAATACCTTTATTTTGTTTATTTGTTTTTTTTGTGTGGTATTCGGGATCAAACCCAGTGCCTCACATGTGGGAGGCAAGCACTCTACCACTGAGCTACAACCCCAGCGCCCAATTTTACTCTTTGAGGATTGACTTAGGGTATTTGCTGAATAGCATTAACATAGGTGGAAGGGACACTTTGAGTAGTGTCACCCTCCTCAAAGAAGAATCATCTTTATAATTTGAGTCACTGGACCTTCTTCTTAGCCTGCTGCCTATTGGCTGGTTGGTACAGAATGATCAGTCTCCCAAAAGATCAGTAGGAGGCCAGCAAAGGTCTCTAGTCCTGCCAAGATTCATATTTAAAATAGCCTCTTGGTATTCACAGTCTTGCAAAATTTGGTGGTTGATTATATTACAAATTAGAAATTGGCTTAAAAGATGGGAAAATGGGAATAAGAAAAACGAGCACTTATAAAGCACAAGAAGTAAGCTTATTAAAGGAAATAGGACACTTGAGAATATTTTTAATGGTCAGGGTCAATGAGTTCATCACCTAAATCAGTATAATGACAAGAAAATGTATTATCTTACGGGAACCCAGTATAACAATTATTATTTTATTCTTCTACTTACAGGAAGCTCAGTTCTTAAGCTAACAACAAAGATAATTATCTTTTTTTTTAAACATATCCAGAAGAAGGATTCATTCCATAAATCTCTTAACAAATTATGACCACACTTCTAAATTCTGACAGATAGCAATTACGATTAGACAATTAAAATCTAGGTCTTCAATTTCAAAGAAGCCATTTCTGTCTTCCCTCACACACTCAGAACATTATGAAATGAGTTCTCAGAATTTTCTCCTCTGTGCCAGCAATTCCCTTTCATCACTTTTGCAAAAACTTTATTTTCCATGTGTCCCAACACTCAAAACACTGAGGTGGCATCAGCCAGCAAATGAATATTCAGCAAACTGACTTCCTAATTTAGCAACTGAATGGAAACTTGTAAAGGTCTGCAAGAGAAAGCATGGTGTGTGCCTGTTATCCCCAAATCTACTCCAATGCATATCAGGTGTTAGGATTCCAAATAGGGACCCATTTAAGGACATTCTCCTCAAAGTATTTGAAAACCACCAGTCGAGTCATTGGCTTAAGCACTGTCACTTAGGTTTGTTAGATATTTAATATTCCCATATGAAATCAAGGGAGCAGTCCCCATCTCTAGTGTGGGGCATAGGTTAGAAGGAAGAACATTTAGTGTGAGTTGAAATTCTCTGTAATAGCTTCTGGCTTGGTGAAGGCAAGGATCTGAGCAAGTAGTGAATACCACCAAATCACAGAGATGAAAAGATCCCTGAATTGGGAGTCATGTATTCCTGGGTTCCACTTTTCCCGCAGTACGAATCTGCTCTGTTAGTCAAATTGCTTCTCTTGGGTTTTCATGTTTGTCAAAATAAGCCCTTACTGCCTCTTTCAATTCTAGCTTACAGATTCTGATCCAGCTAAACCAGGCCACTAAAGCGTAAGAAGATATCTCTGGCTGGGAGGGAGATGAGGCCTGACACTGGTCCTGAGAGAGGCCACCAGTGCTCATCATTGCCAAGTGGCCTTCTGTGAAGGATCAGTGGAAATGGAGCACAGTCAGCAGCAAGGCCCCAGGAGAAAACCACATAGAACAGGAAGCAGTCCAAAGAAATGAGGAGCCCAGATCAAGACGTGAGGCTCCTATTAGCACCCAAAACTAACATTTCCGTGTATGCTTTATTAATAAAGCAGTCACCTCAGAGCTGGAAGTCTGCTCTTTATTTATTCATCTGAGGAAGACTCTGACTTCTTCAGAATAGGCAATAGGATCCCTTTGTAGCAAGAGTTCTGCTCCCAGTGCCCTCTGTTGGAGGTGAGGAGAGCAGGAACATGGGCTGAATCCAAGTTCGAGCAAATTCCAGCACCATAGAAGTGATTTTTAAAACAATTATTTTTATGTAGTGTTTAAAAAAACTGGAATAATTCCTAAAATAGGCATTTGACCAACCCAAATCCACCATAGCCACATATTCCTCATCTCCATCCACAATTACACACACACACACTCACACACACACACTCATGTGCACATATATGACCACTTCAATTGTCCTTCTTGAAGATGCATACTTACCTGATTAAAAATCATTCATCAGATTTAATAATATAGCCATTTGCCTTTCAGGATAACTTCTGCTCCCACATGTACGTTTGTGATTGGGTTGACCTGAAAATACAGAGTAGACACAGACATATTCAACTAAAATGACTCCAACCTAGCACAACTCTGCACACCAGAACCTCCAACAGAAGTCACATGCCAGGGTCTGTTAGCCAATGTCAAGGAGTTACCACAGGCAGCAGTTCTAAGATTGAAGCCAGATTTAAAGTTAGGTAGTTAGTGTAGTTAGGTAAATCGGGTCTAATACCAAGTGAAATCTAAAATGGAGGCCATGCTGGGAATGACTCAGGGAAAACATAGGACAACTCATGGAATGTTAATGAAGTCCCAAAGAGGCCCTAGGCCAAAGTCCACCTGGAAGAAGTATTAATGAATAGCCCCCAGCAGATTTGAAGATAGCCCATCACAAAGAAGTGATAATGAAGTCCTTCCTGCTCAGACTACTTTCCAACCTACATTCCATCACTGAAAGAACTATAAAAAGGGGAGACAACTACACTTTCACGGATTCCACCTTCTGGGTCCCCTTCTTCCTCCGGGAGAAGTCTTTTCTTCTGTCTTTTAATAAATTTCTAATCTCTACTCTGACCTTGCCTCGGCGTGCTTCTTTGGTGTTATTCTTCAACATCGGGGAAGCAAGAACTCGTCACTGGTCAACAGCGGTAACAAGATGATCAAGAGATCCAGCACTCAACTCTCAAATATAATCAGGATTAGGCCGTGAATGAGCTAACGTAGCTGAAACTTCTCAGAAAGAAAATGGCAATTCTACATCTACCTTAAACTTATGATTTAGAGGGTGCAAATTATTCCTAGTTTCTATTAGACCTGCTTTCAAGACTCCAAAGATAAAATAGCTCACAGTCAAGTAAGTGAGAGTAAGGACTTCAAGCCTCACATTGGCCTGAGGCACTCCTTTTTCCCTTATTTGTTTATTACTTATTTATACCTGGACTTATTCTGGAAAAGAATTTGCTGCTGAATGGGAAAATGTACATAGAAACAGCCAATCTTGTGTGGCAAGATATTCCTAAGTAACCTCCCCACTGAGTCTACCGAGCACTGCACACCCCACAGCAGACAGGGAGAGACACAGACCTGGTGGTCTCCTCAGTTATTGTTTTAATGTCTTCTTTACATTCTTGTATTTACCAGAGCCAAGGGACTCTCCCTAGTTTAAATTTCCACAGAGTGTAAATCCAGATTCCTCCTATATTATCCTGATAGCTGTAAAGTTCCAATCACTCTGACGCCACAGACCCCAAATCCTAACAGAATCTGTAGACTGTACCTCTTCTGAGCCACGTTCAGCCACCTAAAAGAACATTATTGAGCTGAGCATGATGGTACAAGCTTGGAAATCCCAGCTACTCAGGGGGCTGAGGCAGGAAGATTACAAATACGAGGTCTTCCTGGATAACTTGGTGAAATTCCCTCTCAAAAATTTAAAATTAAATTAAATTAGGGGCTGGAGATGTAGAACACTCTGGGTTCAATCCCCAGTACCACAAATAAATAGATAAATAAAACTTGAAAAGTGCCAAGCATGTCAAGTATTTGGCTCAGTGATGAAGTACTTGCCTAGCATGTGCCAGGCCTGGGTTCAATCCCCAGTACCGCTCCCTTTTCCCACAAAAAAAGAAAGAGAGAATCTTGAAACCAAAACTAAGTATGTATTTGCTCAGAAAAAAAAAAAAAAAAAAGATACTTCTAGGCTCAATTGGCCCATTACCAAAATGAAGCTTCTACCTCTTTCTTGGACTTTGTCCCTGGCCCAGACTTTAGTTTCTTTATCCATCTACTCTGCATACCCTCATGAGTTCACTGTATTGATCAAATATAATAAAATGGTAAATACGGATGTACTTTAAACCCTTAAAAGAGAAAGTGAACCTAAGTGTATATGATAATATTAAAACTTGGACTTTATTTTGGTTAATTTTTAATTTATATTATTATATAGCAGAAAAAAATTCTTTCCAGAGAGGGAAAAAAGACTTCATAGAGTAATTAATTTGTTGTGTGATCTTGAATAAGTTCCTCAACCTCTCTGAACCTCAGTTTCGTTACCAGTGCTCTTTCGTTTAAAGATAACAGAAGCCCTATTAGCTTCAGGAAAAGGAGGTGGGAAATGAGAGCCCACACTATTTTATAGAGCCCACAGACAGGAAGCACAATCAGAACCTCACAAAGAACCAAGAAATAAAAGTCAGGAATCCAGGCACTCTGTCACTTTATCCCCTTAAAATCTCGTGAGTTACCATGTCTATGTCCCCTTATAGACTGGATTTCTTAACATCCCCATGCATATGACATCAAGCAATTGTCATCACTACAACAACAAACTGGTATCCAGTATTTTAAGTCCCTAGGAAAGGACAGCACATTGGTCCAATTGGGGTATAGGCTCTACTCCTGGTTCATTCATCTACAGTGAGGCTGCCACTGTGCGTAAAGATTTTCAAAGACAGAGAGCATGGGTTCAACAAAGACGAGAAATTTGTTGAGAAGAAGCTGCACCATTCAACTCCTCCGTCGGAATTGAATGACTCATTTCTTCAGTTCATGTGGGTGCTTCCTGTAGACAGCCCTCAGTTGTCAACTCTCTTTGGTAATTGTGCAAGGTGACATACCTTCCCAGAGGTGGCACACCTTCAGGGACTGCTCAACCCAATGTGGGACACCTCTGAAGTGTCGTCCCAGCTCCAGCCCTTCCTGTGGGATTGTGAGGTCTTTGTTGTGGCTACCCTACAGCCTGATTTCTCCTATCCAATGCCCATTTTCTTTCCATCCTCCACAGGCATGAAACCCTTGAACACTCCCTATTAAACTTCCCATGTGCCAATCTCCATCTCAGTCCTGCTTCCCAGAGAACACAGCCTGCAACCTACGTGCCCTGCAGGTGGAACACAGATGGGATGTTAGGTGGGTAATGACTGCCGCATGGTGCCTTCAGTTCAAGGTATTCAATGAGTGGTCGGCTTTTTTTTTTTCCTCCTCTCAGATTTCGTAGAGGAGAATTATAAAGCAAATCTCCCACTGAACTCTTCAGAGTCAGAGCTCTTCTCTGTGTCACTCTCTGATTTGAGATTAAAAATCACAATGACTCGGAATCAGCCTTCTTCCAATAGATGGCAACCGTCAAGCAAAACATCAGCAACTGAGCCAAAAAGAGCAAACAGAAGACTCTGCCCCTCAGTAACTCTGGGCCCTATTCCTCCCCAGAACCATCTACACTATCCCATCAGGCCTCCAGAGAATGGACCTACTGAGATCATCACATGCATCTGAAGGAAAGATTCATCAGCAAGAACATACACAGTGCCCACTATTGGCCAAGCTCATATCTTAAGTGGACAGATAAGGCTTGGATTTGTGAAATTACAATCAGCAAGACAAGGCACAGTGAAAATGGATAAGTTTTCAAGATTAGAACAAACCATAAATAGGAAAGGATAACACCTTATCTTACAGAAGAGATGAAGAACGTTTTGTGGGAAGATACCATGTGGGACTTGAAGAACAGAGTAGATGGATGAATTTAGAGGTATTCTTTTGTTTGTTTCCTTGTTTGTTTGTTTGTTTTAGTGGTGCTGGGGATGGAACCCAGGGTCTCATGCATGCTAGGCAAACACTCCAACACTGATCTACATCCCTAAACCAATTTAAAATTTTGATAGCCAGGGAAAATAAATAGGCATCTCTGAATCTGGTGGATATACCTACATAAAAGCACAATGTCAGGGTCTCCTGTTTGTTCAACTCCACGTTCTGACCTCTGAAGTGTCATCCCAGCTCCAGCCCTTCCTGTGGGATTGTGAGGTCCTTGTTGTGGCTACCTTGAAGCCTAATTTCTCCTATCCAATGCCTGTTTTCTTTCCTTCTTCCACAGGCATGAAACCCTTGAACACTCCCTATTAAACTTTCCATGTACCAATCTCCATCTCAGTCCTGCTTCCCAGAGAACACAACCTGCAACCTATGTGCACTGCAGGTGGAACACAGATGGGATGTTAGGTGAATAATAACTGCCGCATGGTGCCTTCAATTCAAGCCTCTGGAGCACAGTGTCAAATAGGTTTCCTGTTTTTGTTCAGGCTACAACCCCGGACAAAGCATAGTTAAGGAATAGTAGATGGTAGAAGGTGCTTACAGTTTAAGTGATTTGTTGGCCCCCAGACTTTGAGGGGAGGATGCACTGGTCCTGGTCTGCACATGGATCGTCTTCATGCAGGACTAAGTAGCCTGGCACCAGAGTTGGATTCTGCGATATAGAATTACAATAGGGAAGATGAGTTCCTTCAAGCAGCTTAGAAGAGAGAGAGAAAATGACAATGTTCTCTAGGCCTTACAGAACTCAAAGATCAAACCAGAGAAGACTTGTTAAGAAGACCAGATAAATGTTTTAATTAATGCAGTGGATGGGCACTGAGCCAAGTGCTTTATCACTGAGGTAGAACAAGATTAATATTCATGACAACCCAACAAAGTAGCTGCTGAATTTTTCCCATTTACATATGGAAAAAAGGTAGAGGACAAAATTACATATAAGAGGTTGTGAGGGGAATGGGAAAATAAACAAGGAGAGAAATGAATTACAGTAGATGGGGTAGAGAGAGAAGATGTGAGGGAAGAGGAGGAGGGATAGTAGGGGATAGGAAA